TGGAACAGTTTTATGATAGATTATTTATAGAAAGACTGCACATATCATCTATGAACATCCATTTCAATACAGACCAGTAATAAAAAATTAAATTCTTTGGGAGCTAACTGAGGCGCGTGTGGACTTTTCAATGTAAGATAATAGGATAAAGGAGTGCGATCAAAAGGAAATTGATATAGTGCTTTTGTGTGCACGTAACTCTAAATGTGTGAGTAGCAACAGAACCGTTATCTGGCTGTGGGAAAGTCCTTTCGTCTGCTAGTCAACAAACTTGAACTTGTTCTATGAAATATGGAATCGTGAAAATAAAATTTATTTATTTATATCAAATGGCAGGCTTTATAATAGTTATCATTAGCCCTTTAGTTGACTTCAGGCTTCACAGAGGGAGAGGAACATCGAAACAAAAAAAGTCCAGATGGGGGGACAGAAGAGTGTTTCAAATATGTAAAAGACAGACACAAAGGTAGAAAAAAGGTGAGGTGAGTACTGTGAAAGAAGTCAAATATGACATACAGTGGGGGTGATGGTAGTTTGAAGTGAGAAGTCAACTGCCGGTTAATAGACTTTTTTGCCGTATGAGTATACGTTGCCCAGGGTGCACCACGTGGAGGTAGGTCTATTGCACACCCCAATGAAAATAAAATTAAAGGTAGTTATGTTCACTTCTAATCCCTCCCCCCCCCAAAAATCGTTGCGAGTTGCTGACAAATGCTTTGCAAAGCAACTCCAACCTTTCACGATTTCGGGAAGTTCTTGGAATAAACCCAGAAAATAAGTCTCATTGGAACTAAATTGTAATGCCGGATAGGGCAACCCTAACGCAGAGCTGAAAGACATTGGGCCATCTTATTAGTTTTCAGCCTCTGAGGAGACTTTTGTCTCTCAAGGAAACATATGAGATATTCAGATGCCAATTTGTCAAATATGGCAAATGTTACCATTTGATGGAAAATAAGAGGTTCTGTTTTCAGTAAACTTGGGTGCTACTTTTTAAGCAAAAGGAGAGATTAACACATAAAATAATTTAAAATAGGTATTTAATGGTTTAATAAAGGTGTGACTTAGATTTGAAATGCAATTACCAAGGAACTAGCCACACCTACACTGCTAAAAACGTGCTACCCATCATTAGCTGTGTATTTTTTGGCAAAATATGCAACTCGTCTTACGAAGAATGGATAGTAATTGATTATACAAACGCACCTGGTAATCGTAATTTGTCCTTCGCACACCTTTTCCTCGCCTCAAGCTGGAGAGCGCAGCCTCCGCGGACTGCATGGCAGATGCTCTCCTCATGATACTAGCCTGCCTTTTTGGAGGTAACCTTCGTGATTTGATGTCAGCAATGAGTTCTAGGGGTTTTTTCAACTTCTTTCGCTTAAAACCTGTTCCACTTGCCAATTTTCCTGAACTTCCAGTAGTCTTGTCGATGGTCTCAATCTCTCTCTCGACTCTAACAGTATGACAGAGAGCTAGAATTACGAAAAGAATCTGAGCGTCTTCAGGCATGTGTGACGGTTTTATTTCAAAACCTGAAGTTCTTGGAGACTGGATATCAGCAATCGAAGAGACCCGTTGGGTTACAAGAGGATAAAGATGGCTGTTCTTTGCATAGTAAGTTCCACTGGATACGGAGAAACGTTGAAATACCATGCAGTTCTCTGTGAGAGTACCTGTCTTATCGGAGAATAGATATTCAACCTCAAAGAAAAAAGAAAATTCATATGAAGTCAGGATTATCTTCACAATTTGTATCATAAAATGGTAACCAAAGGTTTAGCACTCGTGTCGTTAAATATCATCAGTACTTACACCTAGCAACTTCAAATATATGAAATATTGTCTGGTTAGGAAAACTACTCGCTTAGAGGGTTGACAAGATTTTTAATTTTAACGTTTGAAACAGTTGAGCTCACAATGTTGACAAAAATATTTTATTTTAATTAAGGAGAGAATGGGATGAAGATTGAAGTATTTGTGCTTCTCAGTCAGAAAGAGAGATGAGGTTTAATCTCAAACGGCAGATATTTCTAAATATCCACGTATTTGTCTAGTAAAGTGGTCATCCAACGGTGCAAAAACAATGAAATATGCGAAAAAAATGCAGTAGATAGGTAGCAGGATGCGTTGTTTCACACAAAAGAGGAGCTACAGCGGGGCTTAGGAGATTTTTTGGAAGAATTTTTACCTTATAGCTTCCAGAGCAACTATATTGTAGACCCGGACATATAGTAAGACAGAAATTGGAAAATTGATGCTCAGCCGATGTGCTTTCGGTGAGGTGAAAGGCCAAACATGTTGGTGAGTCCTGGTAAATAGTGATATGGACGAAATTTGGATTTAATAGGGACGGCTCAAGGTTACTCACCCTCAGCCTAATTTAGACGTCAATAACCTTTTATTTCATTTGGATTGGAAATTTTGGTTCTCTTTAGTAAAACCTGCATTGCATAACTTTTTATCTTGATTTGAACTAGCTTTGTTTATTTATTATATTATTTCATTTGAATGGAAATTTTGCTTTTCTTTAGTGAAACCTACATTTTAAAACCCGATCTTTTCAAAGGTATCCACTAAATCGGTTTAATCTGGGCTTGATTACAAAGCTAATTTTTAAGGATCCGATTTTAGTGTTGTTTAAGGTACATTTGTGGTGGTTTCGCCTCAATGATAATTGGGCATCCCAATCTTAATGGTGCGAATAGTCATTTACATATTCTATTCTTTCACACGACGCAGAACTTTAATCATCCCTTTTTTGGAACAAAACACAGATGGTGCATAATTATTTGTAACTTGAAAATACGGATAGCGCAAGGCACTGGAACTTTGTCACCGATGGTTCGGAAAATCCCTTTATGTTTCATTTCACGAGTAAGTGAGTGGTTGCAAGTCCACTGTCGTGCACGACTAACGTGACATTTAAGGAAAAAAAATTAAAAACGACGTCGCTGTGTCATTAATTAAATTGTTAGATGGGAAAAAATAGAGACACACTTTGCAGTCTTCCAGTATACCACTTTGAAATTGATTTTTTTGCAAAGACAAACAAAAGGGTTCATGTGAAAGCCGGTTAATCTCGGTGTCGATTGAGCCTCAAAGTTGTATTCTATTACAACATTTCATGCTTCTATTTGTGGAATGAAAGACGGATTTTTATCCACTTTCTCCCAAGCATTAGCCTTTCAATTTAGGACTGCGAGAAATTGGCCTCATATGCCTTAAAAACATGAGCATGGTCATATGACGCTCGCACGGACTTTGCCTGCAATCAAAAACAATTAATTCGTCTTTGTTGACAATTTACCTTCTGGGAATTTGGGATTATTCTCTAAATCATTTATTGTTTCAGCAAAATTTGAGTTGCTTTTCAACTGATCTTAGCACTGCATAGTCAACGACTTATTCCTATTACTTGGTATGTGCCAGAGACAATGTCAAGCAGGACGGGATATAATAATGATATAATCACATTTTGATGGAGTGGATAAATTTATATTGGCAGTGAATTTTTACTAGGATAAATGGACGTTTTTCCGCATTTGGAACTTGTTTCATAAGCTTACTTTGTTCGCAACATCGGCAGAAATATCTCAAAATAGATTTTGCTGAGAAGTATGTGCATTGTTTTACTGAAAATACCAAGCATTAATATTATTTTTTGGAATGCCATAAATCCGCTTCGGAGAAATGTACCTCTTTTCCAGCATTACGCTTCTCGATTAATCATAATAATCGGAAAACAACTTGGTATAAAGGCCAACTTAATTTTTCCGTGTTTAAGAGCTTGTTAAATTGTCAGTAATCGGCTGCTCAAATCCCAATAGGGACAATAGGCAAATAATGGAAAAAGCCAATTCGATGGAAATGTCGCCAAGACCTATCAAGTCAAAGTTAGGGTAAGTTTAGTAATAGTCTTTAATATTGAACCACCGTGGATGAAAGTTCTCCTTTAAAATGTCATTTTCAATACAAGGTTTAATTCTATATGAGCGATTACATGCATTTGGATAAAAAGATTTTCGATTAGATATTTTAAAATAGGCTGCCCGTGTAACAATTAGTGATGTGAAAAGCAAAGTTATTAAAATTCTATCAAATATACAGATTAGTTCACGACCAAAAGGACGAAAAATGAATGATTTTAAAGAGATGACTACCTTACTTAAGTTACCAATTTCACGTTGAAGTAGTTGGAACATTTATTCACTATTAGTTTAACATAAGGGTGCACGATAGACTTACCTCCACGTGGTGCATCTTGGGCAACGTATACTCATACGGCAAAGTCTATTATTCAGCAGTTGACTTCTGACTTCAAACTACCATGACCCCACTGTATGTTAAATTCGACCACTTCCACAGTACTCATCTTACCTTTTCTCTGCCTATGTGACTATCTTTCACTTTACATCTGTGAATTACTCTTCTTCCCCCCTCCCCCTCTCGAATTTTTCTCACTTTGATGTTCCTCCCCCCCCCCTCTGTGAAGTCCGAAGTCAGCTAAAGAGCTAAT